ACAGTTCGTCGATAACCGATTCTATTTTTTCCCTTTCTGCAGTAATAACTGACTCATGATATGGTTGTTGACCTAAATTATCTATAAATAAAAATAATAATAATCATTTCAGTTTTCTTGTTAGAGAGTAGTATAGTCCTGACCGTTGCATATACTGATCACAATCGAAACGAAAAGATTCTGAATGATTTTTATTAAAATTCTATGTATAATCCAATGTTTTCACTAATGGATTTTCGTTGTTTAGACTTATCTGAATATGTATTGTTCCTTTTTATTTCTTGATCTCACTTAGGAACAGTTGAGTGGAATATCGAATACAGGGAATACGAAACAGTAGGATAAAACAACTACAAACTCCATTTACTAAATATCCAGCTATTAAGAATTGTTGGTTTCCAATCCGACTTTCCCAACTCTTCTAAATGCACTCTCCTTATCCATAATTTTGTCAGTCAGTCAGCTACAACGTAGGATCAGCCAAATATATGCATTGGTCCAAGTTGCCACATCTCATTAGTATAACAAAATGAACTCTAAATTCATCGAACTTGTCACATCATTGGTAGTAATATATAAAAGAAAGATTGCATATAAGCATATAATACAGCGAGAGAGAATTAATTCGTAGAAAGAACGGTATAAAGCAATTTTAATCTCACGGTTTAAGAAAAGACAAAAAATGTATTAACCGACGTCATTATGATCGATTCAGAGCCATGTCACCCACAGTCTCCAACCATTGGTTGCGATAGTCGCACGGACCCAAACTAAATAGTCTGCAACTATCAACATGGCTCAGACCAGAAGTTAGTGACTTCCAGCACTGATGTCACATTTTGGTTTGGCCGTCCCTAACTTCCTTCCGTCCATCTTCAACACTGCTCAGCATTGTGTGTCGTGGTGATCGGTATTCAGGCATACACAACACGTGAACCAACTATCTCAGTCGATCAAGATTTATAACCTCATCAACTGACTTACCATCATTCCCTAATACCCTGAGTCTAACCTCACTATTACTTACCCGGTGATCCCAGCACATGCGAGCAGTATTTCTAACGCATCTATGATCAAATACTAACAACTTACGAGTATCTTCTACTCTTAATGGTCACGTTTCGCAGCCGTTTCTACCAAAAGACTGCATTTTACCATCGTATTCACCAAACCACTCAGTATGGTTACTTAGCACAAAAGTCGCAGTAGAACAAGTCTATACCAGCCTTATAGAATTAAGTAAGAAGAAAGGTTCAAACTCATCACAAAATAGTTTGACCCCAACTTCTGCACCATTAAACCACATTTTGATCTACGCAACGACTAAACCACTGTCACAATACAAACACCTTCCACCTCACACACCAATATTGGTATCTTCACAGTTCACCTCTTACAATACAGAAATAACACTGGCAGCATTCTTGCGAAATATCACAAAAACAACGCATATTTAGTCACCCACCCGCACTAAGAGCACCAAAATCCAACTGATCATTTTCCGACATGACGTTCAAATCCTCTTCTAAATCACATCTTTCCAGGCTATTTACGTACGAAGATTCTTCAGGCTCTTGTGGCTTTATATACTTGTGAATTTTGGCTTTTTGGTTAATCACTTCCACAAGATCACGAGTAGATAAATTAACCTTGCAGCGTGATTGAGAACATCTCCACGACAAAAGGCTACAAGCAGTGATCGGTTGAATTCTACGATGATAAAGCTTTAACACAGTTAGAACGCTATATAAAAACATACCGACGATTTCAGTAGATTACAAAGTTTGGAGCGACCGATGATCATTATCGGCACTAAAATCACTAGATACCAAAGTAGAAATCAACAGATACATTGACGCATATTGTGCAGTAGCCAAAACAAAAATAAAACTTAACAATACTTAGTTGAACTAACCATTACGAAAACTACGCGGAAATATAACAAGTGACCTTGTCAGTTAGTCCTCCATCTCACAGATATTTTGATAACAGAAGTAAAACGGTTAGCATTAAATGAGGTCTCTCTCTAATAGATATCCCATCATAGAACAGTTCAGTGAGGGAATCAAACCTATCCTCTGTAACGTAAACTATTCACACAAATATGTAGTTAGTGTTTTGACAAGAAGTGGGCGCATAACTTACACAATCCTGGTCATCATATAATCATTTTCACTCCCTTGTACAAGGTAATGGTCAACAATATACTGGAACTAGCTCACATTTCATACTTCATTTAAAACTTCAATATACAATATTGCAGTATGTAAAACTTAGCCGAACTTCCATGAACAGGACCAGCATGTATAAAGGCAGTGGTCGAACGTTTGGAAAGTAAAAATTCGTCACAGTCGCACAATTACATCTAGTCCTTATCATCTTCAGCACACGCCATCTAAAAATCTTACACATCTGCTTTTGAACATGCTCCTAAAGTCCACCTCTTCAGTCCGATGGATATAATTATTTTCTATTTCGTTTGATAATGACCAATTTTTGCAGACATTCGCTCAACCAAACGACAACCCATTTAAAATATAGGGATATATGTGGAACCCAAAGATGCAGGGTCTCTAGCAGTGAAATACAAGATGTGCAACTTGTTATCTTAAGGAACTCATTAGGTGACAGTAAATAGATTCTAGAGTTGATGTTCACTACAGAACTAGAATCCAGTGTCTTTCGCTTCAAACGCCACCGCATTATACACTTAGTTGGTGAGTCCAAACAGTCATTAGCTTGTATGATTGAGTTCAAGATTCAAACAACTGATACAAAATTAATTAAAATTTACCGCATTGCACAAGTTAGTGGCAATCTGGACTAACTAGCTACGTGGATAAAGCGAAGGAGTTTGAAACGGCACTAACTTTGAATCCCGTAGTGAATATCAACGCTGAGATGCACGTACACCCAGCTGACGAGTCTCAAACAGGACGAAAATTCAGCAAACCTGTACCTCATAACCGAATTACTTTTATACACATGCTTGGACGAATAATTGGTCTCAGTAACATTTTAATCACTCCATACAATTATAAATTCATATTCCAAATCTACAACACCGACTCACATAAGTCAACACTTGTATGTGTATACCTGAAACTAGGCGTCGTAAAACAATAAAACCATGGATTTATTACTGTAGGATCAAACGAGAAATTCACCGTAAACTAATCATTCACTCTAAATGCTCTTCCTTTTTAAAACACAAGATAGTAAATGCACAGTAAACATACAGTTCAACTGCTCTGTCAGTAGGTCATAAACAACCAAAAAGGATAACTCATAAATCTTCATTGACCCAAGTTGTCATACCTCGCATCAACACACTTGAAAGAAGAAATTCTCAATATCATAAAAATAATGTCAACAAACATTCTCAAAATGGTCAGCAACAACCACATAAACATGTAAATAGAAACATATCAAAACAAGTACAGTTTACTTTCAAAACAATTGTATCTACAAATACAGATTACTATACACAACAAGTCCAGCAAATAGCTAAATTGCTTCCCCATATATCTAAATATATACATATATATGCATAAACGCATTAACAAGGTTTCTCCACAGGACTTTCACGCAGCCAAGATTTATAGATCTTATAAAATCTATAAAATGAACGAACAGCATTTGGATAGACAGGAAATCCACCAGTTTTTGATCCTTGAACAGGTGAACCGTCTACCGTAATAAAGAAAAATAAGGTAGAAATCACTTTTAGTATGGATGCTTTTGGAGATTGTTCAAATTAGAAAATAGACAAAACATCACAAACTGATTTTAGATAAACAACAACCGTTGAAAATTAAACAGCACCTGACAGATACTTTTTCACAATATGTGCCTCGTCAGTCAGTAGTCGACATTTGCAACCGATCATGCCAATCGAGGCTGGCACTTCCATGTCTCACAACAAACATGCCACCTTCCGACCACTATCGGGTTCTCATACATTCTTCTTCATTACCAATTTATGTCAATTCGTGACATCATGTGAACATCATTCAACCACACAATTATACCCATCTCTCACAGTAGTTGTACATCACTAATCACAGATTCTCACCAGAACTTCCAGATTCTTTCATTAAAAGTCCGAAGTCCTGCTACTATCAAGAAAAAAGTCATTTCAGAGTACCTTCTATCAAGATTAACAAAGTTATTAAAGAAAATCTACCATTAAAAACTGTTATTCATTTGAGCGTGTTTCGATCTCTGAGCTGGATCGTATAGCATTAATTGTCTTTCTCAACAACATCATCAGCACATGCTTCGATAAAGCATCTTTAAAGACAAACAAGGATGGAATCACAATGAATGCTATCCAGAGTTATGCACCCATTATAGAAACTTATTCCAGATTGATCACCACCCAGTGATCATTCAATTGTGATTACATTATTACATTATTATTGAACTTACTAAGGTGGATGAATAGTTTACATAACAATTGGATTTAGTTGATAGGAAAAGTAATGGTGTGATGGGAGAAAATAATCAGTGAGTTTAAACCATTACTAACTATGTCTTCACTACTACTGTCACTATTTTTATTGAATAACCTGAACGTGATCTAGTTCAACAGACCCAATAATTTATAAAACAGATTTATTTTATCCCGATTTGCACCCGATACCAAGTGCCAAGCCAACAATTAGGAAATAATTCAGGAATATAGCGCTTTCTGTTTTTATCGATAATAAAGATTAAGGAAAATTTACAGTGACTTGGTCAAAGTGTTGGGGAGATCCAGAAAACTCCTCGAAAAAAAGTCAAGAAAGGCTCTGAAAACACTGAGAAGCATCTTATCGAATCAGTGCTCACTAGAAGTCTTGCCAGAAACATCTAGAAGTTCGAAAGTCACATTTCGAGTTTCGGATTGGATGATTATTAAACTACCACTATATTTAGTAACATTCTAAAATTTTCGGGAAAACCCAAGGACATCTAAAATAAGATAAAATGAGTACACACTCGCATAACCAACTTACCTTTCGGAATTACACCATTCGCCAAAAGCTCTCGAAACAAACCAATATCTATATCAATAGATGCGATTACTCGGCGATCTAACACAAATCCATCGAAACGATTGGAGACTTGATTTCCACATACATCGCGTTTTGGTATGGTAGATTTTTTATCAGACAACTCATCTATATGAATTGGACGCCTCATGTATTCAATAACAAATGCCTTCAACTCCCAATCAAATCCAGATGTTGATAGTAAAGTACTGAAGAATGTAAAACTTGGTCTGACGATTTGTGGGTGGACATTTTGTTCACGAGATATACTGCTAGTCTCCGAATCAGTGGGAGATAGTGGGGTTGTAGCAGCAATCTCAAATCCATGTAGAAGTTTTTTAACTGACTCTATTGTTTGACAACCTCGAGCTAGACAACCCCAAGTAATCTACATAACAGAAAAAATTTAACCATTAAGAAGCTTTTGTAAATTCAGTCCATCATAAGCCACCTTCTAATAACCGACTAGATTTCTTTCAACTTACTCATACACCAGACAAAATTATATTGAACCGTGCATTGATCAAAGGCAATATGATGCTAATTATACCAATACATTTCTGATAAAACATTTGTGAAGCGATGACTCGGTGATTGAAGAACTAACCTTCTACTGATAGGACACAGGTTCGAAGCCTGTACCACCACACAGTTCCGTTTGGTCACACGCTAGTATCATGAGTCCTAACACAAACAGTGTGTTTTCACATGCAGCTTAAATGTATCGACTTCACAAACAAGCTACAACATTACATTTGCACCTTCGCGTCAAACTAAAACCCATCACAATTTCCAATCATACAAATGATAAGATCAAAATAAAAAACACAAATACACACAAACAGGATATAAAACAATGTAGGACAAGCAAACCTACTTGGTCAGGAATTAACCCTTTACGGGTCATATCCGCTAATAAATAATTAGCATTCAAACCAAATGACGCTCTACGATGAATAAAAGAATTGTATAGTGCAGTATCTGCAGTTAGTTTAAACTTTGAAAGTAAATTTAGAACTTCTGTTTCCCAAATATCAAAAGCGTCTTTTGTGTAACACTGATCAGATTTCACTGGTGGTGGCAACAAACAGATGATACAAGTGAAAAAACTAATATTCACTTTCAATTTGTAACGGTTTTCAATAGTATCCAAGAAACCATACAATCCACCAACGAGAGCAAGACGTTGCCATGGATACAAACCTTGATCTTTTGGTCCATAAATCTAAAATTCGACAGTAGGAAACAGGAATTTTAATATATTTATAAAAATTGTTCATTCAGAATTTTACTGAACTTAAACAATCGTGTGACTAAGGAATCACTTTGAAACCGGAAGAACTTGAGTTTACTCAATAGTGAAGTAACTTAGTTACTTACGCCTGTTACCCCTCGTAGAAGAGCATGAACCGTCTATCAGAATTCTTCTTCGAACTCTGTCCTGGGCATTCCTTTCCAGTTCTTACTAATACCTATTCATTCGTTCGATGTGTGCTTCACATTACCAGCGCAGTGTTTTCTTTGGTCTTCCTTTTCTTTTCATGATTCCAAGTTGGTGCTTGCCTCGTGATGCAGTTTGGTGAATTTTGCAATGTGTTCCCTATCCACCTGCAGAGTCTCTTCCTAATTTCCTCTTCAGTTGGTGGAAGTTTCCACCTGTTCTGGAGTTTCTCCATCAAGTGTGATTTGGCTGGTATTGTCTCAGTTGTATTTGAGGATGTTGCGTTTTCCCTTGTGTATGTTGAGGCCTACTGATGCAGAGGTTTTGATACACTGTCTGTCTTCACCTGCATTTGTTGATATGTATGGGATAGAAGAGCTAGGTCATCTGCGAAGTTCGAATCGTCTAGCTGCATTCAAGCCGTCCATTTTATTCCGTGCTTGCTCTGAAATGTGAAAGTCTTCATAGCCCAGTCGACCAACAGAAGAATTAGAAAGAACGAGAGTAGGCAGCCTTGTCCGACTCCGGTCATCACTTGGAATATGTCTGTCAACTTTACTCCATGCACCACTTTGCAAAGTAGTCGGTCGCATAAATTCCGTATGATATTGATGATTTTAGGTACAAATTAGTGTTTAAGAAAATCACGAGTATTCACTGTTCAAGGATGACAGTAAACTAGAGCACTTGTAGTGCGACACAAAACTGTAGTTTTTCTGAATCATTTTAAACATCTGCTGTTTTTCGAAGTCCCTTCTATTTGCTTTTTGTTTATTTAAACAGATGAAATTGGTACATAGGGGCATCACAACATATATACGCACACAAAGTGTGTGGGTTATAGAATACTCTCCGGTTGCCTAAATCGAAGTAGATGTATACAAACCATCTAGTTGGGATTCACACGATTAATGCGACCATTAACATGCTAAGAATCGGTCACAACGGCGCAGACGAATTCAATTTGTACTTTACTTTACAGTCCCAGTGTCCCTTCCTACGTACATTGCCAACCTAGCTTTCCGAACCACAATCACAAAATCCAGTCTGTCTCATTGTCACTATTGATACAGTGTTTCGGTGACCTTGCTACTCATCTAATTACTGTTATCTCGTCAGTTAGATGCGATATGCTAATGCGGGCTACATTACCAATGTAACATTCTTTATGTTAATTACGTCAGACTGGAGTGGTGGATTAGTGGCTAATGTGTGAGACAATTGACCACTAAGTCGCATATTCGAACACCGCTCCATCTACTTCGGTTCGAACATCCAGATGTGGCACAAACACAAGAAACTGGTGAATAAATCTGATCGAGCGCTTGATTTGGTTTCCTACGCTCTTATAATAATTTATTTATTTATTTATTTATTTGAACACATAAATATTGGTACAGAGGGGCACCAAATATATATGCGCGACACAAAACAATGATAATTTGAAGAGAAGGAGAAAAGAGAAAAAAAAAGTAATGAACGTGGGGAATTATAAAAAAAAGGGAGAGAGAGAGAGAACAATGGTGGGGGAAACGGAAAGGTACAATCAGAAGAGATCTTTCAGTTAAGGAAGATATAAACACTTTTTATGAAGAAAGTAAGAGGTTACAGCACGATCGCCACTGGTTTCTATTCTTAGCCATATCTGATAACGTCTCCAGCCACTGTGTTACACCGTCTCTCGGACCCCAACCAGGGAGTCGTGAAGGACCAACAGAAGCTAGCCCTTTGCAGCTTTCTTTCATACCACGACACCATGTCATATACTGACCACCTCTCCGCTTTTTCCAACCAGTCCCAGAGTCGGCAAATAATGCACGACGTGGAATTCTCTGGGACGACATTCGTAGAACATGTCCAAGCCACCGAAGTCGGTGTTTCAAGATGGTGACACCAATTTCATTATCGTCTCTGTGACCGAACACTCGATGCCGGACCTCTGCATTACTGACATGGTGTTGCCACTGGATGCCAGCAATCCTTCGGAGACAACGATGATCGAACACAGAGAGTCGTCTAACATCCTCAGCTCGGAGAGGCCAGGTTTCACAAGCATAGAGCAAAACTGCTCTCACCGTCGCGTTGTAGATCCGACCTTTTACAGCCAGACTAACATCACGAAGGCGCCAAAGATGGCCCAGATTGGCATAAGCCGCTCTGGCTTTCACCATACGAGCATTGATCTCATCACTCACACCACCACCAGCACTTATGCAGCTACCTAGATACACGAACTTCTCGACTACTTCAATCTGCTCACCTCACTAAAACTATGATGAACAATTTGCTTATGGAAAATATTCCTCTTATAATAAACCACAGGCTAAATCTACATGGCAACTTGAACATGAGAGAAAGGGAGAGAAATATGGAAAAAATGCTTTACTGTATAGTGCGGAAACCTGGAAAACCACGAAAGCCATCATCCAGAAGATACAAGTGTTTATTAACAGTTGTCTACGCAAAATACTTCGGATCCGTTGGCCAGACACTATTAGCAACAACCTACTGTGGGAGAGAACAAACCAGATCCAAGTGGATGAAGAAATCAGGAAGAAGTACTGGAAGTGAATAGGACACATATTAAGGAAGGCACCCAACTGCGTCACAAGACAAGCCCTCACATGGAATCCTCAAGGCCAAAGGAAAGGAGGAAGACCAAAGAACACATTACGCCGCGAAATAGATAGACATGAGAAAAATGAACAAGAAATGGATGGAATTAGAAAAGAAGGCCCAGGATAGAGTGGATTGGAGAATGCTGGTCGGCGACCTATGCTCCATTAGGAGTAACAGGTGTAAGTAAGCTTTACTCCAAGCTTAATTTATGTACAGAAAATCAAGGGTATTTATAACATTTTAGATGGTTTTGAACTTCTGGTATGTTCTCGAGCCCTTCTACATATAGTAGCAGGATAGGCAATCATCCTGTCAGAAATGTGACTTTTCACCTTCCAAACGTTTCTGAGAAACTCCTATTGAATGCCGACTGCATAGGATGTTTCTCAACGTTTTCAGGTCCCCACTACGATTTTTTGAGGGACTTTTTGGGTCTCTCCAACACCTTCCCCCCTTCAAAAAATAAGACTTCCTCTTCGCGCCAACTTGCAGCTTGATGATTGCTTTCCTGAAGCGTTCTTTCATAGTATCCAGAGACTATGAGTGTCCATTTATCTACCATGTTCGATGTCCTTTTTTCTCTGTTGATTCGGTTGGTATCTAATCCATGTTCCAAAAGTCCCATGCACTTTGTACAAAACATTTCCTATCCTCTTTTCAATGACTCCCAGTTCCAAACGATTTTTTCAAAGGAATGACCTGATGACCACTCTATCACCCTAGTTAAAACTTCGGATACTCTGATATTGTCTGTGTCCATCCACTAGTTTAGGTGGCAATATGGTGTCGGACATAGTTTGAATACATCTTCTGGACATAGCTTCAGCAGAGGACTTTCAAACTGGTACAATAGGGTTGTGCGTAGTTCTATAAGCCGTTAAGAATTCTGTAATTATCTGACTTGTCCCCTCATCTCCCCCTTTCAGTAATGCTCTGTTAAATGTGTCAGCGAAGCGTTCTGCCTGTATATGTGACTGGGGGTGGTAGGGTGGGGAGCGTATATGTGTAGTCCCATTAATGGTGTAGAAGTGCTTGAGTGATTTCTGAAGTGAATTGTGAACAGTTGTCGGTCACCAAAGTCTCCAGAACGTCGAAACAGTTAAACGATTCAGATAACTTGCTGATTGTTTCAGTGACTTTGTTATTTGCCATAGCAAAGATTTGTGGCAATTTTGTGAGTGCATCCACTATGACTAAAAACGTTGTTCCTCGTACTAAGCCGGCTAAATCTCCATGTAGCCTCTCCCAAGGACTATTAGGTTTCGTCCAATGTTGTGGTTCACATTTCTTTAAACTTTTGGCTGCTTGCAGGCACGACGATTAATTGCTACATCTAGTTTCGACATCTTGATCCATTGTATGCCAGTAAGCATAGCTTCGAGCCAACGATTTCATTTTATTGATGCCGAAATGGCCGATGTGGAATTGTTTCAAGGCCTTGTGGCACAATGTTTTCAGAACAAGACTTCTGTCATCAAACATGATACATGAAACGAAAATCACGAGTTAGTCCTACTGGCGAAAATATTGTAGCAGTCCTCCTTGAAAACGACGGTTCGGCTACTTGGTGACAAGATAACTCCTAGCTTCTCTTAAAGCTCCATAATAACTAACTAGTCCCAAAAAGGATGGTAGGGTGGGGACATCCGTCGGTCTAGACATAGCTTTCACTATTTGAGTATTCTCTGGGTCTTGTATTCTGACATCTTTATCGATTATAAACCCCAGGCGGCGTACTTTTTGCATGCCAAAGTTACGTTTTTTCTGCACGGAGCCGGAGTCCATACTCGACTGTACGCGACAACACCAGGTCGAGCTTCTTTTCTAAATCCATTCTATCTACTCCCATAATTATTATTTATTTATTTGAAGACACAAATATTGGTACAAAGAGGCACCGAATAAATATGCACCACACAAGTCACTTGATTTGTGTGTGGACTGTGATACTGCCTGAGTGCGCAGACTAAAGCAGGTAGTTTTCTGAGAGGACCACACCTCAAGCCTTTGACCTGAAGGTCTAACTCACAAGACAGTGGAGCAACGTCAGGAGACGCAGTCCTGTGGTAACCGGTGGCCAACACTTGGTTCATACGCTATTTGTTCCTTCCGGATACTGGAGCCCATGTGCACCATTGGTTTGGAATCAGGGTTTTCCAACTCCTCTAGGTGGACCCTTAGTGTCCACCAACCCGGTTAGAGCGTCGGATATTCGTTTTTTATCCTCTCAATTTCACAAACAACACCCTCTCCGCGAGAAGGGAGTGAGTAGGACTTCCCTGTCAGTGGCTGTATATGCTTGGCCATGTGAGAACATCTCGAGAGAGAGAGCGGACTCTTCCCACATTCGGCCTTACCAGGGCATTTGGGGGAAATTATGTCATCCAGATAAGCTGCAGAACCTGGAACATCCTACATCATAGTATGTATTACTTGCTAAAATATGGATGGAGCTGTCTTGACTCCCAAAGGTAGTCGATTATATTGTAATAGGCATTTTCGGGTTTCACAATCACCTTCTTTGTGTCCTTTTTCAGCATATGTAGTACAACAATGATTTCTGAAAGGACCTTCTGCATTTTTTACTGGTGCAAGTATGATTGACTTGGTTCTGTGTAGTGTGGTCCGATGAGACCCATGTAGCTCCTTGTATGCGTTTGTGGGAGGAATATAGTGCCGCCTATAACCATTTTGTTGAACGCACACAAATTTGCAAATCTCTCGCCATTCTTGTTCCTTTCTCCTAGTCTATGTCGTCCCATGATATCTTCATATCCAGTGTTGTCCATTCCGACTTTGGCGTCTAGATCTCCCATCAGGATGGTCTGGTCCTTTCCTGAGCATTTCGCTATGATCGATTACAACCTCTCGTAGAACTGATCTTTATCATCATCATTACTATCATTGGTGGGTTTTTTGTGGCCCTAAATCTGACTCCAATTAGATCGTATGGATGATTGTTGCCAAAATATATAACCTGACTATTCTTGTATATCCTCATCGATTAAAATCGCGTTGATGAATAACGGGATTAAATAAGTTAAATACGAGAATGGATTTTCGAATACATATATTTTGTACACTCACTGATCTGGGCAGGCAATCAGAGGGACGGAGTGAAGAGAGTTAAGCGAGACGACACGCAGTGGAGAATACATGTAAGTCCACTCCACTTAATCAAGCGTTAATCAATATTTATAGCCACACAAAAATAAGCTGCAAACATGTAATGAGTAGGATGAGAATTGTACACAAACACGCTCATATAAAAACAGTCAGGTTTAATAAGTGAAAGATTAACAACGTCAAAACGTGAATCAAGAAAAATGGATAAATTGGCCTGTCCAGAAGGTAGAATAAGTTATGTCGGCTTAACATAGTAACTGACAATACAGGTGAATAACACTAGATAACATTCATTGTGATTCCACCCTTTCTTGTTTTGAAAGATGCTTTGATGATTCTGGATGCATGAGATTCCCTTCTTATAAGCGCTTCACGCGCTTCTTTAAACAGCATTAGAGCAACCCCATGAGTGTGTGGAGCATTTTCTTCTTCGTGACTAAAGTGGAGCGACATCTCTCCCAAATCTAAACTTTTATGTCCAGAATGGCTCCAATACAAATCATTCTGTGTGCTAGAAACTTGTAAGTCTTTTCTCTCGACTGCTTTGACGTCAGTCAGTCAGTCAGCTACAACGTAGGATCAGCCACATATATGCATTGGTCCAAGTTGCCACATCTCATTAGTATAACAAAATGAACTCTAAATTCATCGAACTTGTCACATCAATGGTAGTAATATATAAAAGAAAGATTGCATATAAGCATATAATACAGCGAGAGAGAATTAATTCGTAGAAAGAACGGTATAAAGCAATTTTAATCTCACGGTTTAAGAAAAGACAAAAAATGTATTAACCGACGTCATTATGATCGATTCAGAGCCATGTCACCCACAGTCTCCAACCATTGGTTGCGATAGTCGCACGGACCCAAACTAAATAGTCTGCAACTATCAACATGGCTCAGACCAGAAGTTAGTGACTTCCAGCACTGATGTCACATTTTGGTTTGGCCGTCCCTAACTTCCTTCCGTCCATCTTCAACACTGCTCAGCATTGTGTGTCGTGGTGATCGGTATTCAGGCATACACAACACGTGAACCAACCATCTCAGTCGATGAAGATTTATAACCTCATCAACTGACGTACCATCATTCCCTAATACCCTGAGTCTAACCTCACTATTACTTACCCGGTGATCCCAGCACATGCGAGCAGTATTTCTAACGCATCTATGATCAAATACTAACAACTTACGAGTATCTTCTACTCTTAATGGTCACGTTTCGCAGCCGTATAGTAGAACGGAACGAACTGCCGCGCAGTATACTTGTCCTTTTATTGATAGATGGATATCTCGCCTGCGCCATAGGTGACGTAAGTTGGCGAAAGCCAAACGAGCTTTTCGAATCCGTGCTGAGATTTCGTCAGACACCAACCCATTAGGATTGATCAGACTTCCAAGATAAGTGAAGTTGTCAACGCGTTCGACTACTCCACTCCCTATCCTTAGTTTCAGGTGTTGACGCAGACCAGTCCTGAAGCAACAACTTGCATTTAGAGGGAGAGAAGCGAATCCCAAAAATCCTACCATTGTTGCTCAGTGCTACCAAAAGATTCTGCATTTTATCAGCGTCTTCACCAAACAGGACTATGTTATCTGCGTATTCTAAGTCAATAAGTGGACCTTCTGGTAGGAGATCAATACCCGAGAAGTCAGTCGATGAGAGCGTTATTTCCATCAGGATGTCTATGATAAAGTTAAACAAAAATGGAGAAAGTGGACAGCCTTGACGGACACCACTTGAGGTTGCAAAAGCAGATGACAGTTCGCCATAAGCTCTCACTCGACTAGCAGTGTTCGAGTAAAGAGCCTTCACAAGGTTTATGTACTTCTGAGGTACACCTTTCAATGACAAACACTGCCACAGAACCTCTCGGTCTACAGAGTCAAATGCTACTTTTAAGTCAAGGAAGACCACCATTGTCGGACACCGATAAGCATGTCTGTGTTTGCAGTTCACGAGTCTTAGTTAGGCGTCCGATAATTATCGAGGGCAGTATTTTAGATGCTATATTAGTTAAACTAATCCCTCTATGGTTGCCACAGGATGATTTTGACCCTTCCTTATATGTTGGACGATAAGTGATTGTGACCAGTCAGAGGGAATTACGTCCAACTCTCAGATTTTCGCTAAATATTAGTCAACCTAGTCGCAAAAATTGGACCAGTTACTGTTCCCTACCATCGAAATATCATATTTCAAATCCACTAATCTCTGGCATTCAGTATTTACTTCCTGTAGGGTCATGCTCAATGTCTGAGTTTGCTTCAGATTCCCGTTTGGATATCAGTATTCTTGGGTGAACGCAGGCTACAGACAAATACTAGGCATTTAAACTGGTCTTCTGCCGTGAAAGATAACTAGAACCTTTCACATTTTCGGTTCAAGACTCCAGAATGTTTCACCCAATCATCTCATGGTTCTTTCGTCATCTTAAAGCATCGGAAACGGATATTAAATAAAGATAAATATTCTCTAAAGATTTGAAACAGGGTTTTATTTGTTTCAGCAAAAATAAAGTTCATTGGATTCTTCGAAAGAATAAAGTTACTGTACCGTTTATGTTCCGTCGTTCCACGTTTTCTTAAAAGCACTATGACCTTTGAAACGTCATCCAGTCTGCAGAGATCAATGCGCTTCGAGCACCCAAGTGTGGCACAAACACAAGAAACTAGTGAATGAATCGACTTACTAATTACCTATACTTAGAAAATTAATAGCTGCAATTTCTCTCTCTCTCGATATATATATATATAACAAAAAGTTTGTGAAAATTAAACGTACTACTATTGGTTTATCAGTAGGCAAAAGAAGATTTATCGGGCTACGAAGTGCTAACATTGTATCATTCCAATCAAACTGAGGGGATTCCGGTGTTTCATCAATCATTGATTCATTACTGGTCGAGTTTAATTCAACGATAGACGTGCTGTTTAATAATGGAGATTGTGTAGCTTGTGCAATCATCATTGATGCCAATTCGCGTGATGTACAGGAAGGATGTATTAGATTTACAGAACTGGATGAGTCGCCAGAAGAAGATTTAAATATATCTTGAAATGACTTATAACGATTGTTATTCACAAAAACTATTTCACGATTATTATTCGCATCCAAATAGTCATTTTGTAATCCCATTATTCTGGCCAGTAAAGTGAAATGATGCGGAGCAACATCATTATTTGACAATGGGACTAAATCATGCCATAAAGATAAGGCTAGTTGGAATGGACTAACACGATTTAGAACATCGTTTGAGTTTGCTGACTGTTTCGATAATCCCATACGTCGATGACACAATTCGAGATTTCTCTTAGCACTAGCTGGTTCAATAGCCGAGAGTACAGATGTTATGGTGAAAGAATCGGCAAACAACAATTTATTTTTACAACCAACTGATCTTCGAGAAAAACGTTCAGTGTTTTCAGTTGCCAACATCATATCCAAGGCACGCAGACAACCATGAATATCACCAGCTGAAATTAAATCCGAATAATGAACAATATAAATAATCGAATATGCATTCAGCATCAGTGATCATATAAAAAGTTAACATTTGTTAGCCGTTCACCACAAAAATTTAAACATTTATGATGACACCATATGCTTACAAACAAAGTGGAATGGTTCAAGAGCACTACTTCTGGATTTACTGACTTTCCTTCTTTTATATCTTGGTATTTGGGGTTCAGTACGGGCGAACGATACTTGAGGAATCGGGAATGATTGGTCCGCCCTAATATGACCGGTTCTATTTTGTAAATTGATAACGACAACTGACACACAACAATGCAACACTTCAGCACTTGGCCCCCAACACAAAGAGAAGATGAATTGTGGGAAAACTTGATATCCGAAGTTGAAAATCCCGAACGAAACAAATGCCACAACTCCCTATATAATACACTAACGGAAAGATGACCTTCAAGTACACAGAAATTTAGTAAACTAAGGCATTGGCAACCAGTCGGTTACAATAAAGCAAGGGTCAAGTGGAAAATCTAGTCAGAAAAATATCACTGGCAGTTACCGTTCCCAGTATTGTTAACAGAACGTCAATAACCTTGTGGTCGTTTCACCACCTACCCCTTCTCAAAGTCCATGCATTACATTTAAAAGATTAGTATAAAGACAAGGAAGAAACAGACACATGCCGAAAATAGCTTGCAAAACCAAAATGCAGCTTACGACCATGATAGAGTAACAGATTGGAAATATCGCTTTAGAACATAGAGACCGACAATGAACTGAGAAATTCCAAACGTCTGGACTATACACACATATTTTACCCGGTTTCATTTGGAACCAGTTCGTTCGACAACTAGGCTTATCAGAAACAATCATCAGTCACGTCCAGGATGGTTTGATATTGAATGACCAAATCACTCAGTCAATGAGGATACATACTCCCCGATCATCTGCTGCTGCAGTTGCAGTCCCTGGAATAACACCCTGAGAACACACAGTGCGACCACGTCAAGATATGGTCCACAACACTGACTGCAGGATAACACTAGTCAGGTGTTAATCAGTTTAAGCAATCAACACTTTTAGTTCCCAAGACAGAAAGTTAATGGTTTCAGTTGTGATCAGTATGAGCCATACTCTAATTGTAAGAGATGATTATACTACCTGGTTACCGAAACCAGAGTAGGTGGGAAAGGGCTCAAACGTGGAACGTAGTGGCAGAAATTCTAACGTTTCAACACACTTCAAATTAAGTTAATTAACTTCACACTTTATCCAACTTCAATGTTAACATTTCTATATCACATTTAACTCAAGCAAAAATAAACTACATACCTTTGGCAAGAGCCAAAATAAGTGTATTATACGTAAATTGATTCATTGGGATATTTTTTTCCGTTAAACGACGCCAAAAATGATACACTTTATGAAGTGCAGGTCCACCAAAGTTATCTGGTGACATGTCTGGAGCCAACACTTTCTGAAGAGCCAACCTATGTAATAAAAATAATAAATAAACACAGTCGTGGGGAAATTCAATAATTCATTTCTTGTCTCATGTCCAGTTAATGTTAATACAGAAAGCTCAAGGAAGTAAAATCTTATTTGACACCAAAACAAAAAGAAAAATCTGGACGGCGTTGTGACGGTGATAGAAGTTCAAATATTTGACTTGATCACAGTCAAGACGTGAAATTGTAAACCGTATATATAAAATAAAAAACGTTGTGCTTCTCCAACTTACACATTACACACAATATATAAGATATTTTAAACAATATAAATCAAAAAATATCTCCAACCACAAAGAGGAAGTTTTACACCATTCCCCCAATATGGATACAACTAATTGTTAGCCATTATCTATAATTTCTAGAAATATTTTCTAGAAACCGAAAAACCAAACGACACTGATATCAACCAAAACATTCAGAAAAACATTAACCCACAACTCACATATAAAGAACAACTGTGGTATTCAACAGCTATTGATTCACATAATCGCTGAAAATATGTTTCACGACAGGTTAATGAGCATAGTATCCGAGTGCAGCTCGACAATGCCTGAAATTTCATACTTACTAGAATTGGAAAAACATCCTAAATTCATCAGGGAATGAAACGCTGTCGAAAACCAGTTGCAAAGTTCATGGTAGATCCCAACAAACATCCATATCTATACATCGTTTTTAAACATAGGTGTCACGAGTCACCATAACCACTAGGAAAATTCTCTAAAGACAAGAGTCTACGAGTCCCGATAACAATCAACCAAACAATGACCACCAAACGTTTCTTAGGAATACTGTTTAAAATATCTTGCTTGTTCTTCACGTTCACAATTTCTATTCTCAAATTTACATGCTTAAATTTCTTTAACAAATCTACCGTTCACATTCATCGCAGACGAATGTCGCTTTTCCCTCGTGACCTAATTACTTTACATTTCAGTGTCATTTGTTTCATATTTTCTAAGGTCACTCTACATACAAACGAGTTGTGTAGTAATATCGACTCCTATACAAATAGTAAACTCTCTCTTGTAAAAGACCAGTTTCATTCATCTTATTACCCAAGTGCGTTATTAACAGATGAAGTATTGTTGTTGTCACTCATAAATAAGTGTTGCATCCTAGTTTATCATCAGACCAAATCAAACTACAACAAGTGCCCTTTTAACTTTCCTTAATTAACTGCCTCACCTCTTAGAACGTGGAAATTCAGTTCAGTGAAGCACAAATAAGTGAACATAAAAACTAATATAAGGCGAATGAACGAGTAGTGAAGGTATACATAGTTGGATTTGAATCGACATTATTATTATTATTATTATTATTATTATTATTATTATTATTATTTTAACACATAGATATCGGTACAAGGAGGCACCGAATACATATGCGCCACACAGATCTCATTTGATATGTGTGAGGGCTGTGATACTGCCCGGGTGCCCAAACCGAAGCAGGTGGTTTTCTTAGGGGGCCACACCCCGAGCCTTCGACCTGAAGGTCTGATCCACAAGGCAGTGGAGTATCGTGAGGAGATGCAGTCCCATTGTAGCCGGTGACCAACGATTGGTTCATACGCCATTTGTTCCCGCAGGACACTGGAGCCCATGTGCACCATTGAGTTGGGATCCGGTTAAAGCGCCGGACATTCGCTTTTCGTCCTCTCATTTTCGCAAACAACACCCTCGCCACGAGAAGGCAGTGAGTAGGACTTACCTGGCAGAGGCTATAAACGCGTGGCCATGTGAGAGCGTCTCGAGAGGGAAAGCGGACTCTCCCCACTCTCGGCCGTACCAGGGCATTCGGGGGTACGTTGTTGCTGACTGACATAGTTGAACTGAGTCGTTATTTCTTTAACAAAAAAGGCATTTATACATCATCATGATTCCCATGCAAAATACAACTTACATTTTACGCTGTATTAACGATGGATGGTTCCCAGGACGATTTACAACAGGTGGCATAAAAGTTTTATTCTTTCGAAACCATGTTGCAATATCCTCAGCGCAAGCGCTAAACAATAAATTCATCATAATTCAATAAATCACATATATCGATGTGTCAGCAAATAGAAACCAAAACATATAGGGCACACTACTTACTAATTTAGTAAAATCTGTAGTAGATTAATTTTTAAAAAAAACGCTGAGAGAAAAGCTCTTGAGACTCAAATTTCCTATACTCAGAACATTATCTAGTCACGTAAGTTATAAGTGTAAGAAAATACTATTTTCTGTTTGAGAGGACGATAACCTACCTCAAAAATCACTTACGAAGTACATATTTATGCACTCAGTTTCGAGCCATACTGGTCACAGTAAACATGTACCCAAAGACAAGTAGTTGAAGTGAGTGTTTGAATCCGCTCCAATTACACGAACTATATATAATCAGCCGTAAGCATTTGCATTTTCCTATGGTTGATACACAAAACTGGAATGAGTAATATCATTTTTCGTACAGGATTCTTGAGCCTACCTCTTGAAGATAATACTTGTCGAAAACGGGTATCCTTCAATATTTATTAACAAGAATATGAAATCTAAACAGTCTAAAGCACAAATAAACTTGGTTGAAAAGAAAACACTTTACATGAACATCTATTTCAGGGGTGATAGAGTAATAGACATTACCGAAGCAATAGCTGGAAAAAGAGGGATTATGCGTCCAACAGAAATTGGTACAACCTCTTCTTATACCATGGTCTTAATGTCTCACAATTTTCTTTCTTCTTCATAAGTTTTTTCCTTCACCTCCATCTGATTCCCTTTCTATTTTTTCTATACACCTTTTACCTCCAGCTGATTTATTTCTGTTTCAATGATCATCCTGATTACATTTTATCTTATCATGCTGAACCTTCTTTTCCCAGTTACAGTTTCCCTATTTATCTTTATAATGAATATTCAAAGCCTTAACAATAAAACTACAAAACCATTTGCTGATAATAATCATTATATGCTCACTAGTGACTAGCTTCAACAGTTATTTGCTGGAGTTCTAGTGAGAAGCAGTGATCAGTGGAGTTCACCTGGGTCTGTTGTGAGATAGTAACTCAATGAAGACAATACTGGACCGTGGTTCAATTTCGTGAATTGGTTGAAGTTAGATATTAGCACTATTGGATGCCGGCCGGCTCAGTGGTTTAGAGGCTAAGCGTTCACGCGCGAGACCGATAGGTCATGGGTTCGAATCACGAGTGGTTGGATCGTGGATGCGCACTGTTGAGGAGTCCCATACTAGGACGAAACTGCTGTCCAGTGCTTTCAGCTTTTTCATGGTGGTCTAGCTTCGACTGACTGATGAACTCAACTACTAAATTACTATAATATCCACAAAACCCTTTTCTGATAATATTATTAATTTCCCTGATAAAAATAACGTTTCAATACATGTGCTTATTCCACCTCACTGCTACCATATTTAGCAAATTTTTACTATCACTATTATTGTAACTATTATCTTGTACAGCTGTAAAAATGAATTCGCCGAAAAGGGAACTCTGCTGAGACAATCTTTCTTACTCAATGTTGAGGTGACACAACTTAAAATAAAACAATGAATAGATGCTAGTCCATCGAAAGATTTCAAGTAGTTATTAGTTTTCTTTTTAAATACAATTATCACATCAACAATCTTATCAAACAAAACAACCAACAGCATTCACATTTACTTGGAATCCTTCAAACTAACCGAAACAAACGTGAGTAAGTTGCCTGGGTTGCATCAATACCCAATTCAGTCATCTTTTTATAAACGCGAAATGCATTTTCACTGTCTCCAACTCTGGCCAAACCATCCAGAACCATATGAGCATGAAATCTCGATGGTAGAACACGATCCTTTTCCAACATTTCAGAGAAAAATACCTACAGGAAACATTTCAATCCTGATATAAAAACGTCCAGAAATATGTGCAAACGTGAAATAGCAAAGTAAAGCATCCCATAGTTGCAAACGATTATTTAAAGTTCAATAAAAGTTAATTTTATGAGATATGGGGTTTAGCGATTAGAGCGTTCGATTTTAAACCGTTAAAATGGAGGATCCAAACCCACACGACTTGCCAAATTTGGTTTCCAAAGTCACCTAGAAAATCACAGGCCACCACATAAATAGTGTAGCTCGAGTCCGACTGAACAAGACCCCACTCAATTACTGAATAACAGTTCAAAGCACTTCCCAACTCACATAAAAAGTCAGTATCATTTATGTTGGTGCAGGAAAATATAACAATTCAAATATTAGACCAATATAAGAAAACATTAACAACGAAAAATAGAAGAGAATAAATTCTTACTGATAACGCTGAATTTGTATCACCTGCTTTACAATAACGTTTTATTAAATCGCAATAATGTTCAGGAGGATGACGACGATAAACTTTACTTAATCTTAAATAGTCAGCAGGATCTTCTTCAACTTCATCAGTACTCAACAGTTCGTCGATAACTGACGTTTTTTCTATGTTCTTCATCGATCGATTAACAAGTGACTCATGATATGGTTGTTGACCTAAATTATCTATTTAAAAGGAAAAAAGAACAAATGATTACAGAGTAACGACAGTTGCGATTTTAAAATCGCATTTCAGTTTTCTTGTTAGAGAGTAGTATAGTCCTGACCGTTGCATATACTGATCACAATCGAAACGAAAAGATTGTGAATGATTTTTATTAAAATTCTATGTATAATCCAATGTTTTCACTAATGGATTTTCGTTGTTTAGACTTATCTGAATATGCATTGTTCCTTTTTATTTCTTGATCTCACTTAGGAACAGTTGAGTGGAATATCGAATACAGGGAATACGAGACAGTAGGATAAAACAACTACAAACTCCATTTACTAAATATCCAGCTATTAGGAATTGTTGGTTTCTAATCCGACTTTCCCAACTCTTCTAAATGCACTCTCCTTATCCATAATTTTGTCAGTCAGTCAGCTACAACGTAGGATCAGCCACATATATGCATTGGTCCAAGTTGCCACATCTCATTAGTATAACAAAATGAACTCTAAATTCATCGAACTAGTCACATCAATGGTAGTAATATATAAAAGAAAGATTGCATATAAGCATATAATACAGCGAGAGAGAATTAATTCGTAGAAAGAACGGTATAAAGCAATTTTAATCTCACGGTTTAAGAAAAGACAAAAAATGTATTAACCGACGTCATTATGATCGATTCAGAGCCATGTCACCCACAGTCTCCAACCATTGGTTGCGATAGTCGCACGGACCCAAACTAAATAGTCTGCAACTATCAACATGGCTCAGACCAGAAGTTAGTGACTTCCAGCACTGATGTCACATTTTGGTTTGGCCGTCCCTAACTTCCTTCCGTCCATCTTCAACACTGCTCAGCATTGTGTGTCGTGGTGATCGGTATTCAGGCATACACAACACGTGAACCAACCATCTCAGTCGATGAAGATTTATAACCTCATCAACTGACTTACCATCATTCCCTAATACCCTGAGTCTAACCTCACTATTACTTACCCGGTGATCCCAGCACATGCGAGCAGTATTTCTAACGCATCTATGATCAAATACTAACAACTTACGAGTATCTTCTACTCTTAATGGTCACGTTTCGCAGCCGTTTCTACCAAAAGACTGCATTTTACCATCGTATTCACCAAACCACTCAGTATGGTTACTTAGCACAAAAGTCGCAGTAGAACAAGTCTATACCAGCCTTATAGAATTAAGTAAGAAGAAAGGTTCAAACTCATCACAAAATAGTTTGACCCCAACTTCTGCACCATTAAACCACATTTTGATCTACGCAACGACTAAACCACTGTCACAATACAAACATCTTCCACCTCACACACCAATATTGGTATCTTCACAGTTCACCTCTTACAATACAGAAATAACACTGGCAGCATTCTTGCGAAATATCACAAAAACAACGCATATTTAGTCACCCACCCGCACTAAGAGCACCAAAATCCAACTGATCATTTTCCGACATGACGTTCAAATCCTCTTCTAAATCACATCTTTCCAGGCTATTTACGTACGAAGATTCTTCAGGCTCTTGTGGCTTTATATACTTGTGAATTTTGGCTTTTTGGTTAATCACTTCCACAAGATCACGAGTAGATAAATTAACCTTGCAGCGTGATTGAGAACATCTCCACGACAAAAGGCTACAAGCAGTGATCGGTTGAATTCTACGATGATAAAGCTTTAACACAGTTAGAACGCTATATAAAAACATACCGACGATTTCAGTAGATTACAAAGTTTGGAGCGACCGATGATCATTATCGGCACTAAAATCACTAGATACCAAAGTAGAAATCAACAGATACATTGACGCATATTGTGCAGTAGCCAAAACAAAAATAAAACTTAACAATACTTAGTTGAACTAACCATTACGAAAACTACGCGGAAATATAACAAGTGACCTTGTCAGTTAGTCCTCCATCTCACAGATATTTTGATAACAGAAGTAAAACGGTTAGCATTAAATGAGGTCTCTCTCTAATAGATATCCCATCATAGAACAGTTCAGTGAGGGAATCAAACCTATCCTCTGTAACGTAAACTATTCACACAAATATGTAGTTAGTGTTTTGACAAGAAGTGGGCGCATAACTTACACAATCCTGGTCATCATATAATCATTTTCACTCCCTTGTACAAGGTAATGGTCAACAATATACTGGAACTAGCTCACATTTCATACTTCATTTAAAACTTCAATATACAATATTGCAGTATGTAAAACTTAGCCGAACTTCCATGAACAGAACCAGCATGTATAAAGGCAGTGGTCGAACGTTTGGAAAGTAAAAATTCGTCACAGTCGCACAATTACATCTAGTCCTTATCATCTTCAGCACACGCCATCTAAAAATCTTACACATCTGCTTTTGAACATGCTCCTAAAGTCCACCTCTTCAGTTCAATGAATATGACTATTTTTCGTTTCCTTCTTATGTCATTAATTACCCACAAGGTCTGGCAACTTCGAATGGCGTATACGTATGCCATGCCTCTACTGAATAAACCTTCTATGTATTTTAGTCGTCACCATGTTGGTTGCTGCCAAATGAAGACCTTCAGCTAAACATACCGAGACATGACATTATATGGGCTTTTCTATCACCATGGCAACTATGAGGACATCCGACTATTATATCTCACCAAATTGGTTTCTCATGGATTTCGTTTTAATGATTCCACTGTCATTTGTGCAGTGTTGTTTTCACTATCAATATGAGTTGTTTGAACGTCACTAAATCGTTTTTTTGCCAATTTGTTGTCCGAAAATTATTATACGATGTTCACATTTATCATCCACCTAACATTCTCACCTCAGGATAAGAATTACATTTATTCTTATCTAATATAACATCAATTTAGTAGTATTCGAAGTAAACAAAAAGCTTCAGCCACAGGTTCCGCAAAATATGGATTTTCGCCATACTGAAACCGATTAGACATTCATGCCCACCGCATGTTCCAATCTACACATATGATCAAACACCCTCATATGGTGCAAATTACAGTCTACTACAATGACCACTGTCTGGTTCATGAAATATAATTATCCCATACATTTTATAAACACTTTTAAAATACTATTCATACACTTCTGTAGACAATAACCGCCAGTATGTACTACAACTAGCACCTTTCTATTCAGTGATCTTCAAACACAATTGATTCGTTCATGATCTGGATATCCAAATATTCGAATCAATAATACGTGGGCAAAACGGCAATCTTACGGGGAAACATGGATTTTGTGCAACTAAACTTCAAGCCATTCAAGTTATGTGAATAAGATAAACCAAAAATCGATCAGTAATCAGGTTTTGAGACCAGAAACATATGGCCTTATGAAGTTATTTACTTCTTATAAGTCCTTTTACCTGTTACATTACAAGTATTTTCGTATTAATAGATTTTGGACTGGTCGTGTAGCATACTTGTACTTATAGGCTCTAACAACATGGCACCAGGGGCAGCAGGATAAAGTGATATAATAGCGCAGTCTCTGGCATCGATTTTCATACTTTAAAATGGCACATAAACACTATTAAAGCTTCTTAAAGTCCTTAAATAGTAACCAAATAATAAAAGCATGATCCGGATATTCCGAAATGAAAACAGGCGACAGACAACAAGCGCAAACTCCAGTTTCGCCACAACTAATTGACCCGCTTCCCCAATACCCAATATATATGCGTTCAACTAATATGTGTAACTCCGCCTGTAACTCTTCCAGAGTTACTGCCGGTCCCAAGCCCGGGTAAAGGAGGAGGGTTGGGCATGGGGTTAGCGTCCCCATCCCGTAGAAACCTAACTCGCTAAAAAAACGCTAACCAGAAAAAATAACTCAAACCATTTAAACTCTGCCCTGGGAGTTAGAGGTAATATGACGCTTCATGGTGAAAGCCGAGTTCCTTCGGAAGCCACGAGGCCGATGCCCCTTCTAACAACCAGAGCAACAATTTTTATACGTACATGGAACGTCCGGACAATGTGGGAGACCGGGAAGACCAGTCAAATAGCAACGGAAATGAGGAGATACAACTTGGCAGTACTGGGAATCAGTGAAACCCATTGGACCCAAGCTGGACAACAAAGGCTAAATACGGGAGAGATGCTGCTATACTCCGGTCACGAAGAGGAAAATGCTCCACACACTCAGGGAGTTGCTCTAATGTTGTCCAAAGTAGCACGAAATGCACTTGTAGCATGGGAATCTCACGGATCCAGAATCATCAAAGCATCATTCAAAACAAAGAAGGAGGGTATCACAATGAACATTATCCAATGTTATGCACCTACCAATGATAGCAACGACGACGTTAAAGATCAATTCTATGAGAGGCTGCAATCAATCATAGAGAAGTGCCCAAGAAAGGACCTCACCATTCTGATGGGAGATCTAAACGCCAATGTCGGAATGGACAACACCGGATATGAAGACATCATGGGACTGCATGGACTGGGAGAGAGAAACGAAAACGGGGAAAGATTTGCAAATCTGTGTGCATTCAATAAATTGGTCATAGGCGGTACAACATTTCCACACAAACGTATGCACAAAGCTACGTGGATCTCACCGGACCACACCACAGAGAACCAGATAGATCATATTTGCATCAATAAAAAGTTCCGAAGGACAATGGAAGATGTGAAAACCAGGGGAGGAGCGGACATAGCTTCAGATCATCACCTAGTTGTGGCCAAATTGAAACTGAAGCTAAAGAAGAACTGGACAACTGGACAAACAGCACCACAAAGGTTCAATACAGCCTTCCTTCGAGATACTGACAAACTCAATGAATTCAAGGTAGCTCTCAACAACAGGTTCCAAGCCTTACAGGATCTACTGAAGGAAGAAGAAACTACTATGGAGGATAGCTGGAAAGGTATCAAAGAAACATTAACTTCAACGTGTCAAGAGGTTCTGGGCCCCAAGAAACATCATCACAAGGAATGGATCTCTACAGAAACACTGGACAGGATCAAAGAAAGAAAGAACAAGAAGACAGCAATTAACAACAGTCGAACAAGAGCAGAGAAAGTTCAAGCACAAGCAGAGTACATAGAAGCAAACAAGAAAGTGAAGAAGAGCATTAGAGCTGATAAGCAAAAATACGTGGAAGAACTAGCAACGACGGCGGAAAAAGCTGCAAGAGAAGGAAATATGAGACAGCTTTACGATACGACGAAGAAGCTTGCAGGGAAATACAGTAAACCAGAGAGACCAGTCAAAGACAAAGAAGGAAGACCAATCACTGAGATTCAACAACAGCGCAACAGATGGGCAGAGTACTTCGAGGAACTCCTGAATAGGCCAGCTCCAATCAATCCAACGGACATCGAAGCAGCACACACAGATCTTCCTATAAATGTCAATCCACCAACGACAGAAGAAATCAGAATGGCCGTCAGACAAATCAAGAGCGGGAAAGCAGCAGGACCTGACAATATACCAGCTGAAGCGTTGAAGTCAGACATCGAAGTAACTACAAGCATGCTTCATCTTCTATTCAAGAAGATTTGGGAGGAGGAACAAGTGCCGATGGATTGGAAAGAAGGACACCTCATCAAGATTCCAAAGAAAGGAGATCTGAGCAAGTGTGAAAACTACAGAGGCATTACACTACTGTCAATACCGGGTAAAGTCTTCAACAGAGTGTTACTGAACAGGATGAAAGACGCAGTTGACGCTCAACTTCGAGATCAACAAGCTGGATTCCGTAAGGACCGGTCGTGCACAGACCAGATTGAGACACTACGGATCATCGTCGAACAATCAATTGAGTGGAACTCGTCACTCTACATCAACTTCATTGATTGTGAGAAGGCATTTGACAGTGTAGATAGGAGGACGTTATGGAAACTTCTTCGACACTACGGAGTTCCTGAGAAGATTGTCAACATTATCCGGAACTCATACGACGGACTACAGTGCAAAGTAGTGCATGGAGGACAGCTGACAGACGCATTCCAAGTAAGGACCGGAGTAAGACAAGGCTGTCTACTCTCTCCCTTCCTGTTTCTTCTGGTGGTCGACTGGATTATGAAGACCTCGACATCTGAGAGAAACTACGGCATACGATGGACAGCTCAGAACCAATTAGGCGACTTGGACTTCGCAGATGACCTAGCCCTCCTATCACATACACACGAACAAATGCAGATAAAGACAGCCAGCATAGCAGCAGTCTCTGCATCACTAGGCCTCAACATACACAAAGGGAAAACCAAGGTCCTCAAACACAACACGGAGAACAGCAATCCAGTCACTCTTGATGGCGAAACTCTGGAAGACGTGGAATCCTTCACATACCTGGGAAGCATCGTCGATAAACAAGGAGGTTCAGATGCAGACGTCAATCCGAGGATTGGCAAAGCTAGAGCGGCATTCCTTCAACTGAAGAACATATGGAACTCAAAACAACTTTCAACCAATATCAAAGTCAGAATCTTCAATACGAACGTCAAGGCAGTTCTACTGTACGGAGCTGAAACTTGGAGAACTACAACAACCACCATCAAGAAGGTACAGGTATTTATTAATAGCTGTCTACGCATGATACTCAACATCCATTGGCCGGATACCATCAGCAACAGCCTTTTGTGGAAGAGAACCAACCAGCTTCCAGCTGAAGAGGAAATTAGGAAAAGACGATGGAGTTGATGGATAGGACATACATTGAGAAAATCATCAAACTGCATTACGAGACAAGCGCTAACTTGGAATCCTGAAGGGAAGCGGAAAAGAGGAAGGCCAAAGAACACATTACGTCGGGAAATAGAAGCAGATATGAAAAAGATGAATAAGAACTGGAAAGAGCTTGAAAGAATTGCCCAGGACAGGGTTGGATGGAGAATGCTGGTGAGCGGCCTATGCTCCTTCACGAGGAGTAACAGGCGTAAGTAAGTAAGTTAGGATTGTGCTATGAGTACAGTTTTATGATCTGTTTCAAAAATAGCATCACGTACACGTTAAAGCACTGGCAAGCTCACATTAGTGAAGAACAATGAGTTGTGATATGTAACAATGTGGAGTAGGTTCAATCAACGGAGGGAAAGTCTACGTCAGAATCAAGAAAACTGCTCCATAAAATCGACTGTGCATCAAAAGAACGTAAAATAGCAAGAAACTCCAACAACTGCATATTTAATCATTTGTTATTCCTTCATTTCTATTTTTTCATCTAATGCCAGTCACTAGGTCGCAATCTAAAAGCCTGGGTTAGTATGGTACAAGTTATCATAGTAGAATAACAAATCCAGCGTAAAAGTGAAAAGATGGGTCTGAGTGGCGAGCGTAGGCGAACAGCCTCAGTATCACTGATTACTTCTTTCCCAGTCATAGGGAGCCCGAAACGAACAAAATGTTCTGTGCTACAAACATGAGTGGATTGATGTCATCACCCTCACCATCAATGCTTGCCATACAGTAAATCCATCCTCCCTTTTTTATAATGCTAGGCTCATTAAAGTTTATCTTCAGATAAATTTTTCTATCTGACGCGATGCCCTACGCTTCACATCATGTTGGAAAACACTATTTCTGTGGGTACTATTTTACATGCTTATCAGGCGGTTACAATATATGGACTTATGTGGCTCCAAACAAAGTATAAGCATCGAAAAGGGTATAATGCAGGATTAATGATTGCCGAAGAAGGCTGAAAAGCGTAGCAGTATAATATTTATAAATAAGGAAATGGGTGAAAAGACAACTATTGTAAAGATAACATAGTGTATGTGAACGTAGAAATCTGATGAAAAATATACGAGAACGAACTTGTAGAATTATGGTCTACTTTGTCATTAGTAATGCTACAATAATACACCTAATCCTAAAATTGTATATTTGTCATGGTGTGAAAACCTGATTTATAAAATCCTACGTGAAAATGTAATGGCGTTGGGCCCTAACACGAGGCAATATGGGAAATAAGTATTCAACATTTAGCGCGGAGAAAAACCCGACAATGAGAAAGGCGGGAACAATGAATTGAATTAATTCGAGTTGGTCGGATGGCTTGGGTTGGCCATGCAGGTGTTGTCCATGTTGAATGTTACCTCATATCTTTTATTCATATTAAATATATTGTTCTATCTCTGGCCTAAGCTTGTTCTCCATCATATATTTGTGATTATTACGATGCGGTGAGGTGGTGTAGATAATAACGTGACTTCCACGTAAGGTCTTATAGATTAGGCAATTACATCATGAGAAATCTACAATTTAAGGATTAGGTCTATTATTAGAGCAGTACTAATAACATAGTAGGCCATAATTGTACAAAGTCATATTATTGTTTGTTCTGACTGGTCGCATCGTAACGATCAGCAACATAATGTTTAGCCTCTCTAAAAAACACATTTAGGCTGGAGATAGAACAATATATTTAATATGAATAAGAGAGATAAGTTACATAAGAATTACCATTCCTGTAAGGCTGAGCCATGCCATCCGATCGAATTCAATCAATTGTTCCCACCTTTTCTATTACCGACCTCTTCGTGTTAGTTGTTGAGTATGAACTTTCTCGGTAGTTACATGTTCAACTACAAGAGTTGCGTGTTTAGGAACCAGTGTCACTACAAACCCACATCGAATCGATGTTAATGGAGTTTTCTGCTATCTTAATTAGGTGATGTTTAACAGACTATGTACTTGCAAGACCACTGGTAGTAGGCAAGAAAGTGTGAGGTTTGCTCGATAACTTTGATATAATAGTG